TGTATTTGATTAAGCTGTTGAATTATTTCCTGCACAGCTTTCTCTGGTACATGAAGAATCGTTTGCATCTTTAAAAAAAGAGATGCTAAATTATGCTCCAACTGACTTGTTAGATCCTGAAGGTCTGTGACTGTGGATTCTTCAGTGTCCTCTAGCTCAAGGGTGTCTACATCTGGCATGCTCTCTTGTGCAATATCACATACACGATCGTGACAAATTTCCGAAATTATTTCTGACTTAAACATTCTCCAAGTGTGTGTCCTGTTTACTTTGATGAGCATTGAATGTTGAGTACACACTAGTTTGGAAGCTGCAGTCTGCATAAGGGCACTGTACTCTTTGATTAACTCTTAGATGAATACTGCGAAGGTGAGAAAAAAAATCTGCCACAGTGCAAGGTTCAGTAAATTCACATAGCTGACAGCTGAAAGTTAACTTGACATTTTCAGTTTGTCCATCATGAGTGTTTGAGTGGACTCTGGATAAATGAGCCCTAAGTGCATTCACAGATTTAAATGTGCACAAGCATTTATCATGCAGACATGGAAAGGGGACAGTTCTTGTGTAGCCTCCATGTTTTAAGCGATAATGCCTTAGTAGTTGTGCTCTTTTTTCAGTGTTGAATGGACAGTATTTACATTTCCACAACATGCTTTCTCATAAACTACAAGATAGACAAACATGCATTAGCTAGTTGTTTAAACTGCCTTGCTATAAATCCACATGGGAATCCCGTAATAATAAAAAGCAAACTACACAAGAAAAATTGGTTGAAGGCACCCGAATATAACTGCTGTACCAATTAAAATGGAACTCAGCTTCAAAATGTAACTGCAACACCAGTTGAGATGGAACGGGTCGTCGAGTTTCTAACCCGCTGGCTAGAATGCGTTTTGCATGAGACACGTCTTGTTCGTCGTTAAAATTGGATTAAAATGACTGGACCAACGCATTTCTACAGTCAATGTCTAGCAGCCATGCTAGCTAAATAAATACAACGGTGAAGCTTACTTTTCTCTGTGCGTCGTGAAACTTCAACTTGGCAGCGCGCCTAAACTTGGGAGTGAGGCGACGTATGAATCAGTTGGATGAATCGGTTGAATTAGACGGAACAGAGCACACAGTTTATGAAACGGACAAACACGAACAAACCGACTCAGAAAAATGAATTAAATTTCTCAAGTAATTGCGAGCGCTGTAGATTTAATTAACTAACCTACATGTAAAATTATGTTTCCAAAACACAACCATTCAAGCTAACCAGATAGCTAGCTTAGCTAAATATTGGCCAGTCAAAACAAGTTAATAGCTAACCGAGCTAGCAAATAAAGTAATACGTAAAAGAAATGTGGTTGAGAATCCTTAACCATTTCAGCCAAACCTCAGCAAAATACAGAAAACTAGCTAACCTAGCTATTTTAACACTTCAGCTAATTCAGCTCCAACAGCTAAGTTCTCTGGCTAGCTAACTATCTGTTTAAGCTGTAGGTTATGTTAACACCTACCCGATCAGTTTTTGAATATGATCTCAGAAAATGAACTGAAATACAACTTTAAATGACAATATTAACTAAAAATGTGAAAGGAAGTGAGGAAAACGAACAGTGGAATCTTGGAATCAATCCCAGCTATTTGAAAATGTTCTAGAACTGTGTTCACGTGACAGACAGGAAAGCTAAAACTTGGATTATTGAGTTAATTTCTCTTAAAACACCAAGTACTCATGATCATTCAAAGAGATAGTACAAACTACTTATCAAGATTAAGTGATGTCTACTACTTGTAAGAAATTAAGTAATTTCAACTTAATTTTTTAAATACATACAATGTTAGGGTTTACAGTGCATGATGGATTTAATATGAAAGAGTGTTTGTTTAGTCTGAGTTTTTCAGTAAAAAGAGTGAAAATCAACATCTGCAGTTCATCTGAAACCAGTATTCTCAAACAGACACTTAAGATCCAGTACAGCCCCAGTGTAGTGGATCTCATGTGCACTGCAGATGTTTTTAGACAGTAAAACTATCCAGAATGAATTAATGATAATTAATGATTTCAGAAACTGGTCTGTTCTAAAAGCATAATAACAGTGTGATAATAACAGTTAAAGCGTGGAGGTGTGTTCTGTGAGCTACTACTGAAAAATGATCATGCTTTATAGTTTACATAGACACAGAAAACATCTTCATCAGAATTATCTGTTCTGAGGATTTCTTTCTCTCCACAGAGAGACCAAAAGCTGTGGTGTTCATACAGCCTGATAAACAGGTGTTTATAGGAGAGACTGTCACTCTCAGATGTGACATACAGGGAGAAGGAGTCTCTGACTGGCAGTACAGCTGGTTTAAAGATGCTTCATCCACTCCTGTCAGTAATGAACAGCAGTACACAATCAGCTCTGTTACAGAGCCTCACAGAGGAAAATACACCTGCAAAGGAACAGAGAGAGGAACATCACGCTACTCACACACCAGTGATGCTGTTACACTGACTGTATCAGGTGAGTGTGATCATCTCTTCAGTGTTCATTAATCTCAGTATCACAGCAGTACAGATGAGACCAGATGTTTAGTTTGTGTTTTTATTAATGAAACTGACTCTAAATACTCTGAATATGCTCTGTTGTTCTCTTCTTTCTGTAGATCTACCCAAACCTACACTGACTGTAGAACCAGGGAGTCCTGTGTTCAGTGGAGAGTCAGTCACTCTGAAGTGTGAGATTAACCCTCGTGATGGATGGACATATCAGTGGTATAAACAGAATAAACAGAGTGGATGGACTGCAGTGTCTCGGTCTGTGTATTACACTGTAAACAGAGACACTCTCACCATCAGAGAAGTTGCTGTGTTTAATGGAGATCAGTATCAGTGTAGAGGAGAGAGACGTGACAGACCAACATCATCACAGTACAGTAACTCTGTTACACTCACTGTAGAGGGTGAGTCCATTAACATTTATATATTATGTCTTTTCATGTTGGCCACATATAAACACGTAAGTCAATCAGTATGTTGGAGACTGTAATTATTCTTCTTTAAGATGATTCTTTCGGTGATCTGGAACAGCGGTCCCCAAACCTGGCCGTGGAGACCCCTTTGACTTGAACACTTTAAGAGAAACACGAGAAAGTGTTTTAAGATGGGGGGCTGAAATTTTAAGCAGCTTATGACATGACAGATGATATCATGCAAAATGATTTCATTTATGTATTGATTGATTTTTGATAATTTATGCCAAACAAATTGTGTCATACAGCTATAATGAAGTGAGAGGTGACAATATAAACATCTAACTGACACATCAAACCACTGATGCACATCCTCTCTCTGCTCTCTAATTCTGACCAACTTTATGTAAATGTGCTGAACTTTATGTAAATGAGCTGAGCTTTATATAAATAAGCTGAGCAGTGACCAATCAGATCGTTGATTTGTGTTGCAGTAACTGATTGTGTCTCTCAGTCACACAGTGAGATGTACACTGAAACGCTCACAGACTGTGAGATATAACAGTTAATAAAACTTCATTACTACATTTGGTGATTATTTATAAGTTTAAAATCAATATTAAGCTGCTTTGGGACTCAGAACTGATCTATAACTCTGCACAGACTTTCTCTCTTTGCAACTTAACCTGTGTGTGTTTGAGCAACACTGACTCAAAGCGCCCAACAGTTTTCAGCTCACTGTAATGAAAATACTGCGTTCACTTAAACAAAACTTTAAGAAAACAAGACAAGCACACTAAGTCTTCATTTTGCTCAGATTATTATGGCATTCAGAATGTTTTTCTTTCTTTCTTTCTTTCTTTCTTCCTTTCTTTCGTCCCCTTGCAATCCTGAAATCAGGGGCTGCCAATTCCCCACGCCCCTGCATTTGAGTGTTTTCTGGCCTTCCAACACACCTGATCGGTCTAATGAGATAATGAACAAGCTATTCCTGGGTTGAGGTGGGTGTGTTAGTGCAGGTAAACACTATGATGTGCAGGACAGGGGTCTCCAGGACCAGGGTTGAGAACCACTGATCTAGATAGACACCAATAATTTATTTCTGTAAATTCCATGGATCTGCTATTGTTTGTGTCTTTTTCAGTACAAATTCAAACTACAGACAATAATTAATGAATCATTATTATTGAGAATTTAATCACTGTAACAGACAGTGTTATGTTCAGCCTGACTGTAAAATGTGTTCTGAAACTTTCTTCTATCCTCTGCTTCTACAGCTTTACCTACTGCTACACTGACTGTAGAACCAGAGGGTTCTGTGTTCAGTGGAGAGTCAGTCACTCTGAAGTGTGAGATTTACACTGATGATGGATGGACATATCAGTGGTATAAACAGAATAAACAGAGTAGATGGACTGCAGTGTCTCAGTCTGTGTATTACACTGTAAACAGAGACACTCTCACCATCAGAAAAGATGCTGTGTTTAATGGAGATCAGTATCAGTGTAGAGGAGAGAGACGTTACAGACCAACATCATCACAGAACAGTACCTCTGTTAGACTCACTGTAAAGGGTGAGCTCATAACTATAATTTCTACTAAATTAGAGTGTAGCTGGTTGGGGTATTGCAGTGTGTCCACTGACCATGTTTTACAGCTCTGAAATCTCAGGAGTTAACATATGATCTCACCTTTATCCAGGTGCAGCGCCAGGGTGTTGGGTGTTCAAGAACCCCCTGAAAAATCATTCAGTACCTCGGTAGCACCCCTCAAAAATGTTGATTTGCCCTTTTTTATACAAATTTATACCAAAAAAGTCTAACTTCTACTTAAATGCATCGGGTCTTCAAAGCTAAGACATACATTTTTTTTCGTGCCTACTGTGTCAGTCTACCTGAACCAAGAGTGGCTGTGTTTGCTCAGTGAAGTGAAGTGCTGGCTGTGTTTGTGTGAATCCTGTCTTCTGTTTGATTGCTATTGTTTGCTGTTTTTCAGTGAAGGGTCTGAGTGAAGCTCATCTGCCAGAAAGAGAAAATACAGAACTAAACACAAAACTGATGAGACCTTTTAATGAGTCATTTTCATTTACAGTTACAAAATAAAGCAAAGGTTCAATTTAGAAAGTCAACTACGGCTTGTGTTTCTGGGAACGCACCCCTCCCTTTCTGGTGCATAACGCAGCCGCTTCTTGACCACATCAGGAAAGACCATCAGCGTCAGTGATTTATGTTGCTGACACCTAAAAACAGACAATATTAATAAACCATTAATAACACTTTCAGATTATGTTCAACCACATCATCTTAGCCTGAAAGCAGTTCATTCAAATAGTAACCGGTTCACTAAACTGGGCCGGATTCATAAACCACACTGCGGAATTTATTCTAATGTCGATGATGTGAATTACAAGTAGATTTTATTGCAAATTAACACCAACATGCAAATATAACCTCATTTAGTCAGAAAGTACATCTCCTGGTAAAAAGCCACTGTGCACTGATGGAGTTTCCTCATAGGCTACTGAAATGTAATTATTCATAACTGTGTTCACAGTTGATTATGTAATATATTTAAAACACACTGACTCATTTTGATCTGTTTAGATCAGGGTGTCAAACTCAACCACTAAAAGGGCCACATTAAAAAGCCTCAGTAAATTGGTGGGCCAGCTGTGTTTTTACTTAACATTTCTCAGTGATCCGAACGGACCACTGTTTATTCAACACATGCTGAAACTGCAGCAGCAAAATAGCCACTGAACACTTATTCAGGAGTCAGTATGTTGCAGTGCATACTGGGGACTGTAGTGCATCTCAGGGTGAAACGGGCTAATAAGTACAGAAAAATAAAATCATTTCGCCGGCCGAATAGGACTGTGTCACAGGCTGGACTCGGCCTGCGCGCTTTGTGTTTGACACGTGGGGTTTAGAGCTGCATAGAGATGCATGTCTACTAGTTTAGAAGAAGAGTGGAAAAAACTGATGCTTCATCAACTCAGCACTAAGATTTAATATTCACATAAATAGCCTGTTGTTTTTGTCCAACCAAAACATCTGCAAAAACAGTTCAACCAAAACTTCTCAACAAGCACAACGGTGGCTGAGAAAGTCCAGCTTAATGCAGGTTCAAAAAGAGACGCAAACTCCAAAACACCTGGACCAAACTGACCACACCTGTACTACATTTACCAAACGCAGTGCACACTGAGAAAAGATGTAAATACTTAAAAGAGTTAAGTTAAAATGACACCACATACATTACATTACATTACATTACATCGAATCATTCTTTTAGAAGATCTGAAAGAGGAAATAAGAGGACGACAACTGTAAACACCCACCAAATATGCAGTCTTTCAAAGCCTGTCTTTGAACGGTCTCTCCTTTCATTTCCCAGCCCAGCTGAAATGACAGGTCTGCTTATAAGATAAGATAATCCTTTATTAGTCCCACAACAGGGAAACTCTCAGTGCTACAGCAGCAAAGGGAGAGCAAGGCACTCAAGAAAAGAGTAACAAGAAGAGAATGAACAAGCAAGTAATTAACCTTGGTTAACTAACAGTTGGTCAAGGCTGACCGCAAAATACATCGTATCATGGTCTCTGGTGCAAACCTGGACACATGCAAAAATAAACATTAGATTAAATAAGGTTTCTACAATGTTTGCAATAAACATGTACATACAGCTCGAAACACTGCTCAGCCAATGAGATTTCAGAATTGGTATAAAAATTTGCATGTAATATTACAGATATATACGATACCTCTGATTGGCTAAGGGATGAGCTGGTGATGGAACTGAACAAACACACACTGGGAGGTGAAATCTGGACCCAAACTTTGACAAGAGACGTTCTGCTTTCTTTTTCCTGTTTTTATGTTTACCTGTATGTGTTCTAATTAATTAAATAATGTGCTTGGGTGCCTAAAATCTACTGAATCAATGGCTCAGTCTCCAACCACTCCATATTCTCTATCTAGTGAACTAATAAAAACAGCCTGTATGCCCAAATATTTCATTATAGTAAAGCAGAAGGAAGACGACTACATCCAGCCATGGATAACAAGGCTCTCTGCTTAACAATTAAAGTTCGATTAACGTGTAGTTTTTTAATGACTTTAATTCTTAGTGCACTTATGCAGGGTGTAGAAATTGATTCAGGACTCGGTCCAAAATATCTCGTCCTACCACAGAGCTCTTGGCTTCTTCAAGGTTTTTGCAGATAAAAAGCATGTGAAACAACAAACTCAGCCAAAATCTGCAACATGTCTGACTCTGACACTACAGTACACTATGCATCACATTTCATAATACAGGGCGATTCAAAAAGATTAATCCCATTTCAAAGCACCGTATTTCTACAACTGTGAGGCACCTAGGAACCAATCACAATCCAACTGAAAGAGGTAGTCATAGAGTTTCTGACTGACTCCCTTCAGTCTGCGAGGTGATGCGACCCCGGAGCAGAAAGCGTTCTGCGTTCTCCACTTCAATAAGAGTAAATCAGTCATAACTGTGCAGCGTGATTTTCGTGGGCAGTGAAGCTCCAACAGCTCGGAGTGCTTGTCGTTGGTTCCACAACACTGGAAGATCTCTGAAATCGCACTGAAAGAGCCGTGAGTGCAGCGACACCCGACATGCTCAATTGAGTATGGGATGAATCTGAATATGGCGTTGATGTTGTCCGTACAGCTGGAAGAGGTTCATACTGAGCACATATACAATTACATAATAAACTTTATGCTCACTTAAACAATTTACACTCTACTGCATTATTCTGTAATGATTTACAAGTGAAATAAATCATTTTGAAATCAGATGAATCTTTCTGAATCACCCTGTATTTACCTATTCCTGTTAATAGAGGAGAGCACTTTTCACAGCGCACCTTCATGTACAAGCATCAATCACTATTTCACAGTTTTCTACTGCACTTAAGGTTATTCAAGCTGAAATTGTGTTGCTTTAAAGAAGCCAAGAGCTTTTGGGCACAAGATATTCTGGACCGAGTCCCAAATCACTATCTAAACCTATAAGTACACTAAGAAACATGAAAAAATGTCCTCTAGACCTTAATCGAACTTTAACTGTTAAGCAGAGAGCCTTGTTATCCGTGGCTGGAAGTAGTCGTCTTCCTTCTGCTTTAATATAATGAAATATTTGGGCATACAGGCTGTTTTTATTAGTTCACTAGATAGAGAATATGGAGCGGTTGGAGACTGAGCCATTCATTCAGTAGAGACGTCTCCTGCGCGTGTATTTGTTAATTTGTCACTGATTTCTTTAAGTCTCTCCAGCTGTAAATTGTTTAACAGACCCAGAGACGATTAGCAATGATTAAAAAGGTAAAACATTGGGTGATGAGCTGAAGTGATGAGAATGTGTGAGTGTCTGAGGTAAAGCAGAACAGGAATTTGTTTATCCAGCGCTTCTGTATTTCCAGTATTTTGTGAAAAGGGTCTATTCCTGTTCATGCAGAGCTGAACTGTGTAGCTTTCTTTTTCTATCCTACTTACATCCCTTATTATCCTCCGTCTCATTGACCGGTAAGAAGTCATGCTGTTTGCAACATCATTCAATGCACCGCACTTCAAGAACAAGACTACTTACCTCTACTACTGCTACTACTACTTACCTCTGTTAAGACAACAAACCAGTGAAATTGTGTTGTTCATCTCCTTTTTCACCATCTGGGGTTCAAACAAATAAAAAAGTAAATACAATTAGTCTCAGTCAAATCTACATAATCCAAATATATACTTGTATCACAGCACTGTACAATAGTACAATCTGTTTTAATAAAAGTGCTTGTTACCTCTAAAATGAATATTTAGCCCACTTTGTAGAAAATACACAGAAATACTGTATATCATGTATGGCCACTTAGCGTAACAATATTAAGATATGATTTCTGGTCCCTATCACACAGCCCTACTTTCAATCTGTTCATTTTATGAAAATAAAATGTATTGATTTAATTTACAGTAGATGTGCTATATTGTGATAATGCTATCAGGATATATGAAATGTTGGTCATATCGCACAACACTAATTTAATTGCTTAATTATTGCTTGTAGCACGTTTACTGTGTCTGGTGTGAAATGGGCTTAACATGAGCCGTACATGTGATACGCAACCATCCATGGGGGTCCTGGATCAACTACGATCCGTTACACCACTACACCTTACACAATACCTATTATGATATTGTGACAGAGAAAATTTCCCAGCCGTGCCAGATGTTCATAAATGAGTACAATTCATTCAAAATTTGCTGCACACTTTTTAAATGGAACACGCAACTGGTCAATGTTTAATGTCCACCACATGCTCAGAAAAAGACACTGCTTATTCCAGTAACTTATCATGACAGCAGTGGTCAAACTGCCCACCTCTAATGAAATGTTCACATAACAGTGACTGAATTATTCTGACGTTGAATAATTGGTAAAATTCCCAGTTAACAGTTCCAAGTGTGAAGAACTTAAATTAATCAGAGTTTATACCTGATTCTAGGATTTGTTAATCTAGGTTTTAAATTAAGTTCTATTGCACCACACATTTTTGATTTACTTTAATTTTCACTGTCTATCATGATGGATTTGCTACTATAATCATCACCAAACACCTTTTGTTACTCTCTAGAAAAAGCTCCACACTGTGAACTAGCACAAGGCTACCGTTACATTAAAACACAGCTCTCACAGGCAAAGAAGGAATTTAACGTTAACGTTAAACAGCTGTTTTTGGATGGCAAATCTTCCCAGTGGTTCAACCCACCGATTATGCGATTAAAGACGAATGAAATGCAGGTGTACAGAATGATGACAGCATGGCGGAGGCAACTGATGGTACAAAAGACGTTTTTCTTTAAAATGATTGGCCCAAATACAGCCAATAAAAATGCATTTGGTTGCTAGGCAGATTTCACAGTCTAAATAATATAATGTGATGGTTATTTCAGAATATCCAACCAGTAAAACTATCATATGTAGAAAAATATGTAAACAACATTCAGAATATGAAACAGAATATGTTTAAAAATACAGAACATATAAATAAATCTATTTGATAAGTTAACTTATAGTGATAAGTTTAATAGGCGTTCCTTCTCTATACCCTTCAAAAAGATGGTTCTATACAGGTTCTTTAGGAGGACAGGAGAGTGGATACCCACACCCTGATTAAAACCAAAAGCACTTAAAGATTTCTGTAGAATTCTCTCTATAGATATGTATGTTTTATTCTAGGGCTAATTGTTACCTCTACTCTGTACCTATTGTTTTGAGCTTATATCCACATATCCAGTCACCCTACAGTGTTTGGTTTTGCTGCCATGGTGAAACAAATCCTAATATATGGATCATGTGTTAATTTAGGGGGACTCATGAGCTCCATCCTCAAAACCACGTTAGTAATATTTTATCCCTAAAACTGAAATGAAATGTTTGCCTTTTCTACAAGTCTGTAAATGTGTGAAGGTGTATTATCAGTCTGTCTTAGCTCATATTTACTATGGCCATGTTGATCCACAAACTATAATTCATTATTGATTCAGTCAATCAACATCAATCAACATTCAACATTGATTTAATGTTGTTTTTTTCATCTTCAACCAAAAGCAACAAAACTGTAGTGTGTTAGTAAAGAGAAAACCTTATGTATGCTGTAGCTGTGGACAAAAAACAGCTGAAGAATAAAGCACCATGACTTGTGCGAAAGCTGTGTATCTTTTAATAGCAAAGTGCACTACAGTATGTATGATATAGTAGTAGTACGCGGTTGTGGATGCAGCCTTGGCTTTAAATTTAGTGCAGTCGACAACAGAAAACACAGAGTCATGCATCGCTATACAAACCCTGATCCTCAAGAAATCGATGTCTTGTAAAATCAAAGTTTCTGGCCAGCAAAACTTGGATTTTTACAGCCTCGTAAATGAAGTCATAATAATAAAAAGTCACTGTTTTATTTGCGATTTTGTTTAACTGAGGTAAGAGTTACAGTCGAGGCGCTCAGTCCTGCTCCTGGAGATCCATCACTCTGAAAAGCTCACATCCAACTCACCTGGCTCTAATATTCAGATGTGCCTGGAGGCCTTGATTACCTGGATCAGGTGTGTCAGATCAGGGTTGGAGCTGAACTCTGCAGGGTGGTAGATCTCTGGAACTTGAACTGGACATCTCTGAGGTACACTAGTGCAGAGGTGCCCAGTCCTGGCCTCCACCCTAAACAGTTCAGACCCAAAACACAGATATTCAGATTCCCCTCCAGGCCTTCATTAACTGGATCAGGTGTGTTTCATTACAGTCTTAAAAACATGGTTCTTCAAGGGTTCTTTAGAAAAGGCAATGGTTCTGTTTAGAACCATGAGTTCTACATAGAACCATACACAACACATTCTCCATCAATCCGAAGAACCATTTTGCCAAGCAGAGAACCATTTAAACAAGCAAAATATTCTATATATACTCTTAAAAAAGACAGTTCTTCAAGGGTTCCTTAGTAAAGACAGTGGTTTTACATAGAACCATTAACTCTTAAAGGACTATTTGCATGCTTAATGGTTCTTTGTATGGTGAAATGGTCCTTCAGATCGATGGAGAATGTATCACGTAATTTTCCACAATAAGAATAAATTATCGTCATATGGTCCACCCCTAGGTCAGCTGGTAGCGAACAAGCTCCTCCCATAATATTCAGAGACAGGCTTTTTACATCTCACCATCGAGCTGCTCTGGCTGAGCACAAAAGAGTGGAGAAACAATACATGTTTACAAAAAAAAAACACCTCAGTTTATTTAAAATGAAGCAAAACTCATTCATTTATCTTCTGCACTGTATTTACAGACGTATAGTAAACATACCACAAAAATCATTCATTCATTTTACAGTCATTCACTGAACGCTTGAATTTATGTCAGAGATGTCAGACTGCAGTCCTGCCTGGCACTGAAGAGTTTAGCACCTCATTTAACTCACCTGATTCAACTCAGCACCTAATCAGCAAGAGCTCCAAATTCAGAGAGTGAGGAGAGGGGAACCAGCACGGCTGGAATCATATATTCTTGTTTCTCAATCTTCTATGGGAATAGCTCAGACATGACGTTACTAACGGAATGAAAAACGGTTCCTGTTTCCCCTCATCAGTAATGGTATTATTATTCTGTATGACTGCCAGAACTTATTAACGTGTTTTCTTTTATTTGCTCTTTGTTGAAATGTGAAATACTATAAGATAATGGGAAAATAATCAGTGTGTTTACATACACTTGATAATCTGAACACAATTATTCACATGGTCACGTAACCAGCACAGTCCAATTAAATAGAACCTAAATAGAACCACCTACAGCACCGTTCTCTGTCAGTCTGAAAAACCCTTTCAAGATGCAAAGGGTTCGTTGAGTGTCCATGGTTCTATATCTGCAGAACCCCTGAAGAACCATCTTTGTTAAGAGTGTAGGAAAAGCCCTGTGCACTGTGTAATGAAGACTGACATTATCGCCTCCAATCAGAGCTCTAAGAGAGACAGTTAGGTTTGAATTGGAGCTGTTTTTCTTACAGAGCTGTCGATGAGCTCCTGTTCACTGATGTTATAATCAAGTCAGAAGTGTACAAAGGAAATTTCGACACATCCCTGCAGGCGTCTGCAAAGAAGCTGCTCATGATGATCTGACACAGCAACTTCAGTAAACTGAACATTTTAAGCAAGGCACAGTTGTTCTACATAAATTCCTTGATAAGTGCTAAGTGATTGTGGATGAGTGAGTTACCGGCAGTAGAAGGTGAGGACATTCTGCTGGTTTCCTCTAATTAGCAGGACGGGGCAGTGCAGTCCACAGCTCAGTGTGTCCAGTCAAGCCATGTAGAGAGAGCTGGGGCAGCCGCCCTGAGGGACAGGTCACAACCTGACACAGACAGACACACAGTAATGTGCACGGCTCCTGCTCACTGATCTTCATTAGTTATGGGATTAACTTCATGAGAACAACTGAGCCTGACTGAGGAATTTCAAACAATAATTGAATTTGCACTGTTTGGTTTTGAGCTGAATACTGAACAGAATCCTTATAAAGCTCAGCTGTTAATGAGTATGAACTGGGATCAGGACTCACAA